ACAAATATGGGGCAAATAGGAAGAGAAAACAGCTTTACATTTCCCAAGGACAATGACAACTACAAACTATTCCTAATATGAAAAGTTCCCTCCTACATAACTCTGTCAGCTGTCACATAACATCAAATGGCTCTAAGAAGAATAATTGGCCAATAAGCACCACTATCCAGTAATATTCTGTTGCCAGCTGAAAAAACTGTGCCTATTTTGAGAATACCATCAGAACTGGGGGGGGGGGGGAAAGGGCAGATTCGCTTAAGAAAAAAAGAACATCAGAAGAGCCCTGGTGGATCAGACCAGTGGTCCATCTAGTCCAGCATCCTGTCTCACACAGTGGCCAATCAGTTCCTCTGAAGGGTCAACAACAGGGCATAGAGGCTGAGGCCTGGCTCTGGGATTCAGATGTTTAGTGCCTCTGAATGTAGAGGTTTCCCCTCAGTCATCCTGGCTAGCAGCCACTGATGGACCTAACCTCCACTTCAGCCTCCCCTGCAGCACAGGGTAAGGAAATGTGACAAAGACAGTTTCTGAATATCCCAGTTCAGAGTTAAGTAAATAAAATTATTTGTGCCAGGTGGAGCTTTGAACCATGGCAGCCAAGTCCCTTTTCCCATGGCGGGGAAGTTACTTTTCCCACAGAAGAACAAAAGAAAGAGCTGTTGCTCATTAGCATATTAATTCATTTCTGTGTTTATACGGAATATAAAATGAAACCTGAGTGAGGAAGGAAGTGAGCCTGAGAACAGAGGTTGCAGGATCTCTATACCTGAGGATCCTCCGGTATATCTATATATCTAATAGCGAAGGCTAAATCCACACATCGGGGGCACCTGGGGGTTTTCCTGCACATCTGGGGTGATCCTATAGCGGGGATACTGAAATCCCCCCCAAAGTAAAAGAGCATCCCCTGCATATGCACAGGGAACGCTCTTGGAATGGCAGCAGTGGGAGGGGAGGGGAGGGGTGGGGGGAGAAGGCTTGGCCGACCGGCGAGGCCTCGCCGCCGGTGGCGGTGGGGGAGGAAGGAGAAAGTTTGGCAGGCCGACGAGGCCTCGCCACAG